AAACCCAGATAACCTTCCCTTTGCAAACTGAAAAACCTGTATTAAATTATTGAGTCTGATGCCAGAACTTTGCTTTGAAAAAATTGGCTGTAAACTTTGCATTGGCTGTAAGTCTGGACACTTCCCGGTTCTGTGGGCTGACATGCTCAGAGATGAGGGTATAACTGGCCAGTCCATACGTTTTTTTCATTCACTGCATCTGCAGCTGGAAAGAGCTGTTGCTTTTATCTTCTCAGAGAGAAATGTAATGCGCTGCTTCTCCGGTCTCTCACCAAAGTTGTGTAAAGAACCGGAGATTAGTATGAGATCACGAGGCTTTCCATATGTTAGATTATAACCAGGAGATGTTAAATACCTGAAGTAGAAGAGCAGGCAAAAGGGGAAAAAAATATTAAAAAATATTTGCCTAATTAAAATTCTCTATCCTCCCCCCAACTTTTCAGCCACGTTTTATTTTCATTGTAAAAAAAGTTGAGAGCTGCATCATTCTTTCAGCTTATGCCTTTGACACTACTATCTAGTGAGACTGCATAGCTCTGACTTGGTTTACGTCCTAGATAATATGGAGTGGTTTGGTATAGGTATTATTACCGCTACTTTGACTCTACTGTTTTCATTTATGTCAAAACACAAGCTAATAATGAACTAGTGAAAATAGGGTAAGCAATGCTAGCATGTACATGTTGCACAGTATTGGGCTCTCTGGTGGAGTCTGTGCCTTTTATTAAACTTTTTTAGAAAAAAGTCAGTAAATAAATTTCCTAAGTATAATTTCTTCATGTAAGACCTAAACCAGATTTGGAAAACACAAAAAAGAAGTCTTCTGTAATAAAGACAAAGGCCTTTACATGGTCCTGTAATTTGTGGGACTCAAGCTTTCACTTCAGAACTTATTTTTTGAGCCCTCATGTCTGCAAACAAAATGTTCAGCCTTTTTCTCACTCAGAAATGGGCCTCTCTTGCTTGTATGGTCTGCTCCTGAGAGCTATAAGAGGCTGACATGGAAATGAGCAGTGTTGGCATCTCCACTGTTGCATGGTAGGGCTCTGAAAGGTACAGCATGAAGTGGGATTGATTTGGGTCCTCCTACTCAAGCACCGCTCTGTGAGGGTGAACCTTCACTGCCACTTGCAGGCTGGAGGTAAGGAATGTGCTTTTTTTCCTCCTGGCGCCTTTCATTGATTTGAATTTCTGCCATTTGTTAGTCAGACTGCTGTGGGTGTTGGGGCTCCTGAGTGCAGGTGGGGGCCAGGCACTCGGTGGCAGCTGAAACACTGCACTATCCCCAGGGGATGGAAAAGGGATTGGGCTTTCTACCATGGAGTATGAGTCTCTACTAGTGAGCCGTACTCGTACTCTTCTTGGTTTTGCCTCATCTGTTAGATCACTTTCCTCTCTTGGCAAATGTAGTGAAAAAAACCTCTGTCTTAATGAGGAACAGAAGATGTAGGCGATGCCTTAGTCTGTGAATGCTACAAGGTGCTGAAACTTGAAAAAAAGACTTCCTGGTTCTTGGGGATATTCCATGAGCACCCATAGCAGCAACTGGCTGCTTAGAAAGATGGGCTTTTGGCTTGAGCTGGTTTGGTGGGTCTTAACTTTCTAATCTCTCTGGTCACATTCCAAGAACTGCTATCAATTGAGAAGGAAAAGTTGAGGCGTGAAGGTGGTAAATGAAGTTGTAGTGACAGTTTAACTAAACACAGTCAAATGATTGAGTTAGGGCACAGAGGGGTTCTCCTTGATGAAGAGGACTTGAGCATGAGCCATCCCTTCTGAGCCTCTTAGCTTACTTGACTAAATTGAATGAGTCACTACTTTGTGGCTTAGTCTTACAGTGTTACGTGACACATGCTAAATCTCTCTATGATTAATATGTTTTAAGAAGTGTCCTATGCTATAGTAAATAGGTACTGAAGTAAAGATGAGTTTATGCACATGTGCACTCTGTAGTGCCTTTTTTCCTTCTACTGTTCCATCACTAACTGAGGTGTCCTATATTCTTGTTTTCCAGTGATTCACTGTAGATGTTCCAGGTGTTTTTCTTTCCCTTCAAAGCGAAGGATAAGAAAACGGCCTCGAGTCCTGACGTTGTTAAGTCTGCCTGAGGATGTACTTTTTCATGTTCTGAAAGGCCTTCCTGCTGATCAGAGCTGTGAGTCTGCTACTGCTTCCCCAGTGTCATGGGGCTTCCCCCTGTGGCTTATCTGTGCCATTGGGAGCCAGGACTGCACATGGAAAAGGCTGGCTTCTCGTGTCAGAGTAAAACTGAAGAAAACCAAAGAGTACATGCAGAAATTAATTAGATTTTTGCTATCCCAGTATCAGTTTTATTTCTCAGTACTCAAGCTTAAGAAGATTAGCAGTAGTATTCAAGTGCTCCATGTAAATTTTCTGTGGGAATTGTCCAGCTAGATCACCATGGCTGAACAAATTTGTTTGGTTTGGCATCTCTTGCCTTAATGAGGATTAGGCAGGTAACGAGTTATGATTAACTTGTGATTAATTAGTTACCTATCTAAAATTAGATTGCAAAGAACTATTTTTCTGTTGGTCCCTTTATTTTAGTAATTATTATTTTACGCTCCCCCCTTGCAGGTGCACTCACATCTTAAATACCTTGTGGATAATCACGCTAGTGTTTGGGCATGTGCAAGTTTCCAAGAAATATGGCCCTCTCCAAACAATCTGAAGATGTTTGAAAGGTAAGCTTTAAGAATCAAATTTGCCTGACATTGTAGAAGAGGATGTTTGAAGGTGGATATACAATTTGAATCAGTTCTCACTGTAAGTGGGAGATCTGACTTTCCCTTTTTGTAGAAGTCTTTGCTTAGGGTGATGAAAAATTGTTGATTTCATGTCTAAGGTATAGCTTATATCTGCTGTCTCTTTAACTGGAGCAGGGCCTATTGCATATATCAAAGTTATTTCTCTTTAAGGGCATTAATATTCCATATGGGAACATAGCACACTAACTAAAATCTGTTACTGGTGCTTCCATATGAATGTGCAAGTAAAATCAGAGGCTCAAGAGCGTAACATATTTCTGAGTTGGTTTGGTCACTTCTTGTACAAACCAGTGTATTGAAAAATAGGTAAATTTTGGTATTGAGTGAAGTTTGAAAGGGTAGCAGTAAATCTGCTTAAAAAGGATGGGGAGCATCTTTTTATCCATTTGATTTGAAGGAGATCCGTCAGTTTAAATGTCATGATAATTGTTTTGCTTCTAACTATTGCTGCTTTGATGCATGTATTATGTTTTTTTCTGAAGATGACTATTATGTGCACGTCAATTTGGAAGGGAGGAGCACAAGGGCTTGATGTATATCCTTGAGGGTACAAGTACCAAAACGTGTTGTTGCATTCTGGTGTTGGGGATGTTGCATGGGAATGGGAAATGGTTCCTATGAATTGTCAAATTATCCTGGACATCGGCATATGAGAGGTTTGCAGCAAGAAAAGCCTCAGCATAACTTATGTTTAATTTCTGTAGTGAAAGCACATATGCTTGTGGTTGGTGATCACCAAATTCACAGCCTGGCCTCTGCTGAAGGAACTTGTTTGAGGATGTGGGCCTGGAAGCACCTACTGATTCCAACCTCAATTATCTTCTCTGTTTCCCATTTAGGGCTGCTGAAAGGGGTAACTTTGAAGCTGCTGTGAAGCTGGGGATAGCGTACCTGTACAATGAAGGCTGTAAGTGTGGAAGCTCATACTCAGGTCTTTGGAGATGGCATGACTGAAGGAAATATAGATGAGCTAAAGGCCTATTTATAGATACAGATCAGACTAACTTTGTCTCATCACAAAGTTGGCACTTCTACTGGCTGCTTACAAAGCTGTTTCTCCTGTGTCTCAAACACTGATGCTTTTGTACCCAGGTTCTAGAGCAGTGAAGTGCAGCGCCAGCTTGCTGCCTTCAGTGAGTGGCTATGTCTCATTTACTATCGTGCCTCTTCAGTTTTACCTTTCAGTGCAGCTTAAGCACTGGCCAGTAAACTGCTAGGTGTTAAATGGTAGTATTGTGCACAGGTCTTTTAGAAAAGAAGTCAATGCATAGCTTATGAATTAATGTTTAGAAGTTATCCTTTGTAAACTTCTCATCAAACCTGGCTACTTACCTAGTCTGATAAATGTAACAAAAGGGACTGGCAACTGACAGGAGGAGCCTCCTTGTAGAGGGTACTGGCAAGGCAGGTGACTTGCATACTGATTTGTTTGTACACTGACAGGAATTAACATTGCTTTGAGTGGTATTTGCAGAACACTCCCCTGCCCCAACTTAGGTTTAATAACCCTATGTTCCTGAAGACTGACTGTAGTAAGATTTTTCTTCTTTTGCCATCTCCATGATTTTTAAGACTGTAAAGGGAAGACAGTGTTCAATCTTTTCCTGGTTGTATCCTATTGTCTGTCTTGGCCTGACTAAATGCCAAGCACGTGTTGTGAATAAACTCAAAACTATTTCTGGCTTTTTTTTGTTGTTGTTGTTCAGTGTCCATCTCCGACGAGGGTCGTGCAGAAGTGAATGGATTAAAGGCATCTCATTTCTTCAGTCTGGCGGAGCGTTTGAATGTGTGTGCAGCCCCATTTATCTGGCTTTTTATCCGTCCTCCCTGGTCCTTGAGTGGAAGCTGTTGTAAAGCTGTGGTCTATGAGAGTCTCAAAGCAGAGTGTCAGTTGGAGAAAGTAAGATTTCTTTCTACCCTTGACTTTAACATAGGCTAGTAGCTGCATCTAGTTATTCTGGAAAAAATATTTTTTGTTTCCCCAAGGAGCTCCTGTGCTCTTGTTGCTTTAATGACTGTGGATCAATCATTTTAATGAATGTATTGCCAAGCTACACTTGGTATATCATGAGTGCTGCAAGCCTGTACTGCCTTTTCCGAGACATTCAGTACTGTCTCAAAGATAAGAAAATATTGAGAGAAGCAAGGGGGAGGAATGATTGAAAGGCAAACAAAATTGTAGTCTGGAATTACTAGCAAAAATTGTTCTTTGTTTATCTTTAACAATGATTTATCTTAATGCTTTCTTCAGGCTCAAAAAGGATCTATTCTCCACTGCTTGGCTAAGGTCTTGAGTCTCTTTGAGGTGAGCAGTGTTTCTGATTTGATGTGTTTGGGTACTTTTTTTAGTGATGCTAATGCTGTTTACCTTGATTTAAAAAAAAAAAAAAAATCAGCCAAATGCTCTTATATTCCTCAAGTGGCCTAGGAGTTTCTGTTCTCATGAGTTCAATGTAGTGGTTGTTTAAAGGAACATTATCAACTTAGTCTACTGAATTTTACAAACAGTGAGATTAACTTTGGCTTGATCATGGGCTTGCCATGTGTTCAGGTCTCAGTGGGAGATGAAGTCTTCCAGTCATAATGCATATATACTAAAAAAAAAAAAAAATCCTTCAGTGGCAAGCAAGCCAAAAAGCTTTTGTCTAACTGAGGAAAACCACTAATTGCTTCCTGAGCCTGGATCTTCAAATGACAGCACTGGGTGGATCTGGGAGCACCCCTCATAGTTTGAAGGAGACTTGCAACTGTTTGATTCTGCTCTGTAGCTTTCAGTACAGAGCTGTTCTGTAGCTTCTGAAGTATTGAGATCTGGCACCCAGTTGGCTGGACAGCAAAAATTCTGTCATGTCTTTTGTTCTTAGGATGAAGAAAAACGAAAAGAATCCCTTGAAATGCTTGAAGAATCTTCAAAGCAGGGTTGTTTAAACAGCTCCTACCTCCTTTGGGAAAGTAACAGAAAGGCTGCTGTAAGTAGTGGTTTTTGTCTCAAAACAACTTTTTCACTGTAACTTCTGGACCTCTGTTATATGCAACATACACAGAAAGAAATTGCTGTTCCTCAGAGCTCACCTTCTTCATAAACAAGGAGAGTGCCAAGAACTCTCTCATATGAGCTTTGGTGTCTGCCTTGGTGTTCAAAGTAAGTGAGTCTATGAGCAGTTGTAGCCGAGGTGTAAGCAGAAGTTTCTTTATACTAACTCCGCTAAAAGCATAGGTACTGCTGGCTAGTGATCATATGGCTCACTTGGGAACAGGAGCGGGGAGACTGCCTGCATTGGCATAAATAAATCTGCCAAAGCTCTCATGTTGGAATCCCCAGTGACTTGTCATTTCCTGTGAGACCTCGGGCAAGAACCGAAGAAAGTTTCTTAAAAACAGTGTTGTTGTCATGATGAGAAACAGACTGGTTGCTGAAATAATAGATGTAACCACAGGCAGTGTTTTTTCTCTGGATATTAGTCCTGCAGTCCTTCTTGCAGTGCTTCTGTTCATTGTGTAAAGGTAATGGTTTTTGAAATCTGTTTGCATTCCTCTCTGTAGATGTCAGATCCTGGCAGATACCTCCAAAGTCTCAGGAAGCTACGGGACTACGCAGCAAAAGGCTGCTGGGAAGCACAGGTAAGACTGATTTTTCCCAGGAAAACTGTTTTCATTTGGTCTTTCCTATGCTGTCATTGTAGGCTTAGACTCCTCTCTTTAGAAGCAGGGTCAAATATGTGTGTGCGTATTTACTCTGCAGATTCCCCTCTTTTGGAAAATACTGTATGTCTATGGTACAATCCAAGTAAGGATGCATCTTTTGATGGACTTAAAAGCCTATGCCCAAATAATGTGTGCATCCACCATTTAAGCCAAACTAAGAACTACTGATTCTGTTATCTTTCAAGTAGTTTGTCGTGTTCACTCTGTTTTC